ATTTCCGATGAGCTCATGATGCCAGGGCGGCATCAGACGCGCCGCCTTTCTTCTTCTTCTTGTTCTTCTTCTTGGTCGATGTCGGCTCATGTGCATCTTCGTCATCATCCTTGTCTGGCTTGCTCTTCTCTCCACTCCCGTATTGACTTCAAGGTCTTGGCCTCAATCTTCTGCTGCTCCGCAATCCACTCATTGTAGCCACTTGCCCTGGCACCTCCAACCTCATCAACTGTGCCTCGCGTGTTGTAATCGAAGGCGTCAAAGGTGAGATGCTTCGGATTCCTCCTGACAGCGACCTGAATCTCAAGCAACCGTCTGACAACCTGCTCAACCGACGCAAGATTGCTGCAGTCGACCTGGTCATACCCGATGGCCAGCTTGAGCACACCGATGAGGTTTTTGTACTCATGGGCAGCAGCACTGTTGTCTGAGAGACCAGATTTCCTCAGAAACATGGCATGGTAAGTCGCGAGGCCTCCACCATTCTCATGCAACTGACTCTAGGAATTCACGAGTGGCCTTGGGGCCTCATTGAACTTCGTGTCTGACATCCTCTCCAAAGCACGGGAGAGGGGCAAATGCCTCTTGCCTGAAGTTAACCTTTCACATGCAAGAAGTCTCAAATCGCCGGCATCTCCGCCCGGGAGTCCGGGCCTCTTGTGCTCCTTCCAGGCTTCAAAGTCTTCAACAAGCTCCAGGCTGACAATCTGGCCATCTAAGCAGTGCAAGCGTTTCTGTTGAGCCCCAACAGTGAGCACGGCATTCTGAGCTGGGTCACCCAGATCTCCGTGAGGAACAATTTCACCAAAGCGCTTCAAGTCCACATCTGCCACCCTCCACTGCCCAGCCTGCGCGACTGGAGAGCCAGCCGCAACACCAGGTCGCTCAAGGCAGCCGCGAACTGTGGCCAAGGCTTCGGCCTGTCCCTTGAGGTAGGGTAGTCTTGCATCAGATTCGCATTGTTGGGGACATACATCTGACCAGCATATCCAGCGGGCCGGCCAGCGGGAAAAGGACTATTTCTGGAGAGTGGAACTACGGTCATATTGTCATAATCCTCCTCATACACATCCCCATCTGGGGAAGAGATGATCCATACTCATCTGTCGACCCTATACCATAGAATGCGATGATGATAACCAAGCCCCGCTGGGTCATGCACGAACTCAACTAGTATCTGCATTTCCGGTATGTCCAGCGTGCGCTGGACAGCCGCCATCTCAGGCAGCTATCCCACGGCGAGGCCAAGAGGCTGAGCTGTCCGTCGAGGTCGGGGAGATAGGCTGGAGTCGGTCGAGACAGTGTGACAGTTTGAGCAAACACCGCAGAGTCCCAGCCGATCGGTCAACCAGGACACCAAGACCAAAAGCTAGTGCAATCAACACAAGCCACCACCACCAAAATGGATTGTAGGAGTAATCAGTAACCGTAGTTGTAGTAGCGGTCCCACTAGTCACAGCCGAGGATTCCAAACAAGTGTGCAATAGATGTTTCACAATCCCTGAACAAGTTGCCATCTCAGTCGGAACCTCACAGTGACAATGGCAATCAGAGGCTGGTGCTCCCTTGGTCCACAGGAGCAGGTGCGATGCCCAATTGAGCACCTGGATCCAAGTCCCACAGGATCGCCCATGGGAGCGCCGAGACACCCCCAGAAGTTCTTGAGCACAGATTTGTGCGGGCACCTTCATATATGGCTGAGCAAATTCAAACATTCAAGTGAATAGGTACTCGGGGCTGCAGTAATCCAATTCAAGTATACTCTCATTGAAGCCTTATATTGAACTTAGTGGAAAATGACATAGACTTGTGGACCTGTGCAAAACATGTTTCCAAAGAGCTTTCCTCTACAGTAATCTGTTTGAACTCAAGGATGAAAGCATGTTATCCGAGTGGGTGGGGTAAAGCTACTGCAGCTGGTGTTTGTTTCAGGTGACCCACTTGATTGTTGCAGTAAGGTGTCAGTCACAACCCACACTTCCCTTTCCTGCTTTTTCGGCGTGCCTGGTCTTCGGAGGTGATATACATGATCACGCCCACCCAAGAGAAAAGCGCATTGGCCTCCAGTGGAGAACTGAGCTTTTCAAGCAAAACCAGTCAAGGTCGACAAAATGGCTGTACAGTACAACATTCAAGCCAAGAGCAAAATTCAGCGACTTTGCTCATTCTCTGCATCTCTCTCCGAACTTCCGTGCTCGGGGCACTCCGTGAAAACCGAAGCTCAGCTATACCATCTCGAAGCATGTCCCGCCTCCTTGGAGTATGCCGGGCTCATTGGACTGCTGCTCCTCCGGTGATTCTTTCGTCCAGAAGAAGCGAGTCTATGAGTCCAACAGCGGGGGAGACACCCAAGGAGTTGGTGCAGGCTGAATCGCAGAGTTCCAAGTACATGTTTATCTTGATTTGACGTCCCCCGCTGCCAGTTACAAAGGCTTGGTCAAACTCAATGAATACGTTTCCCATGTTTCTCCTCAGAAAAGCACCTGGAACGAAGCTGCTTGCAAGATAGTCGGAGGAATATGGATTTGGAGAAGGTTTGGGGTCGTTATTGGTGGAGTGTCTCACATGTCTGGTTGACGGCCAAGTGTTGCTTGTTCGCTGTCTTTATGATAGAACAAATGTCTGAATCGCCTGCTCATCTTTTGCCCAAAACTCTAAAGAAACTACTATAGATATTATAGAACTAACATCCCTCAGGGAAAAACACGACTATACTAGCACCATATGGTTACATACCACCCCAAAGGGACTATTGATCTGTCTGACTGTTTGGGGAGACCTTGCTATCAACTTGCCGTGGAATTGCCCTCAGACAAAACCAAGCAGGTATAAGTGAAGGGTCAACAAACTGCCGACTCGTTGATTGTGTTTGACTTGACGCTTCCAGCTTCTCACCCAATATATTACCATATATACATACATTAACCACGCCAAGTCTGACCGGTTGTTTTTTAAAATAAGTAAAACTTGGTGCGCACGGCGCACGTTCAATTGTGGTAAATAACTATAATTAAGTGCTACGGAGATCCTTGAGATCTAAAACAAGCCTTCAGCAGGTCCTTGTGACCTCATCTTGGTTCAATCATATCGCCATTCACACCATTGGTCTGATTCTCAAAATGCCTCTGGTTTTGGCAGCGAGCCATCAATAAACAGACCACAAAGCAAACTACGGTTTCTTAAAGTGTCTGTTGCTAGCAAGTTGATTCTGGGGGCACCAAAAAACATGAAAAAAACAGTGCCCAAGCCACCAATGCCACATTCTCTACTTGCCAGGTTTACGTGTCCAAGGAAGGAACAGGAATCTTGCTCCACCTGGGAGACACGAAGGGATGTTCCAAACACATCTAGGATAATGTAGTCGAGATATGTATATATATATATATTTGATTTATATATATATATAAGATTTCCTCTTTTGGTTTCTCCAAGAGCCTGATGGATCCCTCAGATATTGTTCGGAATGCCTGGCCCAGGTGTCTGGAAATCCCAACTCTTCACAGAAGCCATCCCTGGTTCCACGACATAATCCCCGCCTACATAGTCTGAAGTTTGATCTTGTTTGTGGATGACGAACAGGATTTGTTTCACAACACCGTTCGTTTGCACTTGAAGAGATCATGGCTCGAAGCTCGAACTGTCTAATTCGATGGGGAACAACAAAAGCCAAGGACTGTTCCCCATGGGATGTTTGGATTTGTGTGTTCAACCCAAGCCACTCAATACCCATGTGATGATTGTGATGGGAATAGTGGTGGCTTGTGAGGGATTGTCAAAAAAAAGCAGTTGTCGCCGGAAGGACATTACATAGGAATTGCAATGAATGCCACGAAGAGCCACCATCTGTGCATCCTCAACCAATCATTGACTACTGCAAAACTCTAATTCATCTCGTGTCAACCCACGAGATGAAGACATCTCACAGTGGGTGACACAACTTTGGACTGCTCGAGGAGACACAACATACACTATTGAATACCCTGTCAAGTGGGAGTCATCGACCTGGTCCCAGGTAGCTCCTTCTTGCATGTATCCTGAGGCGAAAGGAATTGCTCCTGGGATGTTGCTACATGTTCTGTTGGTTCAAGTATTGGGGGCATGAAACAAAGGGTCCATCCGCCAGTTCACCAGGTGTCCATTTGTTGGTCTTGTTCCTGGTGGGCAACAACCAGCTGTCCCACTGCACGTGGCTTGAAAATGTCCTTGATGTCCATCTTTGTTCGATGGGCGAAGCAGCTGCAATCCGCTCTCGCTCGATGATGCCCTTCCTGGACTACGCAGTTGCTGGAACACGAAAGGGAAAAACAGCTGAAGGAAAGGTCTGGATTCTTGGGGCAGTTGCGTTGGGGAGCATTCACCCCGAATCCCAGTGAACATCTCACACAGCAAGAAAGAGTTAGATAAGGCATTTATTCGACTGTGGAGGGTTTCCGTGCGACCAGTACATAGACTACCTGGTACGCCTCGGCCGCTTGGGGAAGCGAATGATGTCTGCGCGTTGAACAGTCTAGCCCCATAGGTGCCTTGAACAAAGGCAAAGCAGCTGCCCGCTGAGGGCGACGAGGGAAACTGCAACCAACAGGATATAGGCCTTATTACATGAAAACTACACTACAGCCAGCTCTACCCCCAAGGTTTACTGACGTGTGGGTCAAGGTGGGTTCGCTTGAACGCCATAACCCGCTCCTCCGACCCGACCTTCGCTCGCGGACATTGGTCAGCTGGGCTGACTGCGTGTTTACTTCGCACGTCGACAAAAGACCCAAGGGGCATCTCTTGTACGTACTTGATGTCTTTCAGATTTGGTGAATCAATGGTGCCGCAAGGGAAGCAGTTCTCTAGGACCCATTGCCTCAGCTGGCACTTCAATTCGACTTCCCCGAAAAAGCCGAACACAACACAAGGACGCTCACCTGAGATGTGGATTGTCAAGATGGTTGTTCTATGCTAAATAGAAGAAATCCTAGACCTGGCATACAAAAAAGAAATATGCCAACTATGGTGTATTCAGCAATATATAATATAAATGTATCTGTCATATTCAGTGCCTCATTCCATGAGGGTTCCAACCATCTACGCACCAAACCTGGTTCAGCTCCAACAATCTACGAACCCGACCTGGTTCAGCCAAGTTATCACCAAGGTCCGTGGGCATACTGTTCAACTGTGTCTATTTCCTCAGAGTGACAAAAGCTAGGAATTCTCCACTATTTGGGACCTGCAAAACACTGTACATACATAGTTTTGGCATTTCTCAACTGAGGTGCAGGATGATTCTTGCCTGAACAGAAGGTGACAACTGGCGAACTGGTCATCCTCTTGCCTAACCAACACAAAAGGTTTGGGCCACCTGCTTTCCCCTCGAGCAATCGCGGGCCAAATGATCACGACAACTTACGAATGGGAACAGCTCAGCTTAGCTCGGTGTCTTACAGTTGCCCTTGGAGATTCAGGGTAAAGAACCTGACTGTAATGCTTTATCTAGTGTTCGGAAAACCCGTCACGAGTTCTGTTTTCAGAATAGCCTGCTTCCGTCCGAGTTCTGCATGCTTCCCAACGATTCATCAAGGCTGTGGCGCCAAAGTGCGAACCACCGCACTCGAATCCTAAGACCTCCGTGCTATCGGCGATGCGCTCGCCGCTGCTCTTCCGCCAGAACTCAGCCTCCGCGCGGTTGACCTGCACGTGAGCTTCGGGTCTGGGGGGTTTGGTTGGTCGGACCGATAGCTCACTGAAGATGGTTTGCTGCGTTGTAGCAGCTTCGTTGGGTCCTTGCGCCGTGATAACTTTGGCATTTGAGTTACGATCTGACGACGAACCGTTCACCTGCTCTGAAAAACATTGAAACACTTACTCCGTGGAAGTTCTATTTCATGGTATTTCATCATATGTCAATATATTTCATCTAACTTGGCTAATCCATGGTGTGTTTTCGTGCTGGATAGGGCAAAAGGAGCTGGATCCGCCGGGCCTCTCCTGAACAAGATCAAACCTGAGAAAGAAGCAGGGCCGAATGAAGCTTGTCATGCCCAAACCAGAGACACCTCGGAAACTAGATTCAGATATATATTGGATGGTTCCAAGGGTCCTGTCCTGAAAGTGAGATGAACTTGTTGGTTTGGGCCCCGACAATGCCCGACATCCGCACACAGTTCCTCAACTGCCCACCTTCGCGACATGGTCCGGGTTCAAAGGATCTAAGACCAGCAGCTTTTCCTCACGACTGTGAGTCACCGTGTAAACCCAGAATGGCTCACATAGACCGTCCGACGCCCGAGTGTGAAATCTGACGGACTGAGGATTGGCACCAACAGTTGATAAAAAGGTGCCCTTTGCTACTAGAAGCATTCTTGTTCCTAGTAGTAAGGCCAGGAGCCCCTAGTAGCATCCTTGCTCCCTGCGTATCTCCCCTACATACCCCTAAATGTACCCTGAATGAAAATAAGCAGGGGTTGCTCACCGGTTTGAATGCTTCCTCATGCGTCCTTTTCCCGTGGTCAGATCTCTGACTGGGGCGGCAAAAAGACCTTGTGGATCCTTGTGGAGTTCATCAGAGGTGTGCTCAAGTGAATACGATGTCTTGTGCTGCTGGTTTGGATGCTTGGACTCCCCCACCACAACGCAAAACTGGATCCACATGAGCTGTACAGTACGTACTGTAAGTGCTTAGACCTTTGCATCATCCTTTTGGAGATGAAAGGTTGGAAGGTCGCATTTAGTTGGTGGACTACTTGCCGGATTTCTTGAAGTCATGCAAAGTGGTCTTAACATCTACTAAACGACAGCCCACCAACCTCAAGAACATTTACAGTTCGACCGGAGGCTGTGAGCTGGTGTTTTGTGAGCCTGACACATGTATAATCCCAAAGAATTCTCTTTAATCTTGAGTATAGTGATTGTTCAATCCTGAGCACCCCCTATAAAGTAATTTGCGCAGAAACCAAACACCCAAACAGCTGGTTGCGTGTTGCTTGCCTCCGTGTTAAACATTTGAAACTCACAAGAATGGAACTCGACCCGGAACTTCAGGCCCCAGAGGGTTCCCAATATGTCCCATCCGTTAACAGAACCTGTGACCATTTCGTCTGAAGCAAAGAAGCCTATTGGATATGTGATACTTGTAATTTAACATAGTTTAACACCCTATCGTCATCATTGGTAGCGAGCACCTCGAACAGGTGATGTTTGTCGTGGACCTTGGTGTCAATAGGACCTTAACCGCAAGTGGATTCTCTAGCTTGGCCAAACTCCGTCAAACCATTTCATCCGCCGAAGGCACTCGGAGCTCTGCGAAGTTCTTGCCCTCTAAGCTGCCACAGTCCTCACAGCACTCAAAGCAAAGCGAAAGCTGTTTTTTATCTTTGATAAGGGGGGGTAGGCGGCTAAAGGTAGGTAGGTAGGTAGCAGGATAGCTCACGCTATTCATTCCTAGAAACTTAACATTTGACATGGGGCAGAACTGACGGCTCAGCTCACTTTGCAACACCTGCTCTCTACAACCGGCGTACTCATGTGGACAGCCAGGGCACTCCGATACCGGCTGTCATACAGGGAATGCAAGGGCCAGCTCGCCGCTTGTCTATTTGATTGTTTAAATGTCAGTCACCATCCAGATTGAAGATGGGACAATCCAAGGAAGCAAGACAGGAGAACATGGGCTGATCTGTCTACACTCACCGTTCAATTCCAAAATTCATCACCTGCTCAGAGCCTGAGTGACTGCTACTCCCAACTGTTGGGAGTGCCATCGCTGCGCCTCCCCAGACAGAGGTCAACCGTATTCATTTGACATCCTTCAACTTGGTCTCAAACTCGGACCTCTAAAACCCTGGGAAAAGTAGACCATCAACCACTGATTAATGGATATGTTTTAATCTGAATACTTGCCACATTCCATGTTGCTTGATTTATTTGAGGAATCTGAACATGAACAGATCCTCTACTGTCTTGTCAAAGACAATGTAAAATATGGTCAAATGCATTTCAATCACCATCAAACCCCAAGCCCTAAGCCCTTTGCACCAGCCTCAACTGTCCAAAAAAAACACGTTCACCCAACACTACCTCCGCCAGGTCTCTGGCTGCATCTCACGCAAGAGCCGCTTCAAGGGCTCGACGCGGCGTTCTTCCGGCAGTGCGGGCACAGCTTTGGCGCCCGGCTTGGCAATGTCGGAGACCACCACCACGATGGTGTCGGTGTAGGGGACCCACATGTAGCCTGAGGCCGTGTACTCTGGTGCGAAATTGGCCAAGAAGCCCGTCCAGCGATGGATACACCCAAGCCAAACATGGCCTCCCGAGAAGAAGAAAACCAGCGGATTCGAGAGAGGTCCTCTTCAGCGGGAGTTGCACACAACCCCCACTGGTCGGAGGATAAACATGAACCGTGCATGCAGTATGTTCGTCATCTGACACCAAGCGTCGTGTTAGCGTATGTCAAGTAAGTTCGTTTTCTTGCAACGTGGAAGCTAGCCTTGAGCGCTGACAACAGGTAATACGGCAAATGTTCGGTCGATACATTTCCAAACTTCGACCCCCAAAACGGAAGCCACAACGGGCGAGGCACGGACATGTCGGTAGGTCTGTAGGAGTTTGGCATGGTCACGCTCCAGCTCCGCGTAGTTGCAACAATACGTCCGCTCGTGCAGCATGTAGCGCGGCCGCACCTGAAAAAGCGTTTATGGGTCATAGCAGTGGTGACATAAATTGCATGCTTACCTTGCTTGAACCCTGCCTGGGAAAGCGGTGGACCCTGAAAAAGACAATGCCCTGCAGGAGGTCCAGGCATTTTGGTACAACCAGTAACCAGACTAGGGCAATTGTGTGGCTTCAAAAAACTACTTGTTGAGTCGTCAAAGTAATCACTCAGCCAACGCTGGTAACCCTGTCGCACCATTTGTATGCCGGTTGTTTCATGTCTTGCTTCTTCGCCTCCTTTTCTTACAGCTGACAGCTGATTTGGAGTCCTAACGCTGGAAGATAGCCCGCTGTGTACATCATCCGCCAGGACCTTCCTGTGTACCCCAACTGGAAATGAGAGGAAAGCAACTATGAGAACATGAGAACAATTGGAACCTTGTTTTTTGTTTATAGCGTTAGTATTAATATACAGTAATACGTCTTTTTAAACCCGTTAGGGGGGGTAGGGGATGGTAGGGGTATAAGCTATGCTACTAGGAAGCTACTAGCACCAGTATGCACTGAGGAGAGTTCACGGTCATGCATTAATGATTTGGTTCCTATAGAGTTTAAGGAAACTTAGGGAACGCGACGGGTTCAAATGCCTCTGAAAGTGCTAATCATATGACCATCCGGCCTTAAGGGTCATTTCTTGCACGACGGCCAGCGATCCAAGTGCCACCCGCATCCAGGGAAACCAACTGTCGCCCTCTCTGAGCGTCATAAGGCCTCCAAAGACAGTGACAGCCGAAAAGGAGCGCTCAGGCGCGAGTGTGAAGTTACGAGGGTGTGGAGGAAGTTCAAAGGGTTCATAGGAGGAGGGGTCCCAAACCTGAAAAGTACCAATGGGGCAGTTGATAGCTAGGTGGTTCATCTTGGGAGCCGCTAAAGAACGTAAGCAGTCACTTCGTGGTAGTGCGATACACTGGGCAAGGGATATCCCACTGTTTGGACGGAAGTATCAAAACCCAAATTTTCACCAACACTCACAGTAAATCAAATATGAAAACAATACATACAAAACAAACACCTTGCGCAAAGAAAACAAATCATTGGACTCAGGGGACTAACGACAAGAAACGAGCTCCCATCGGGCCTTTTGCTGGGCTCACTACAGTCATTGACGTGATCATCTCCTAGGCACATTCTGAAAGAAGCTTTCAGTCAGATTTCTAGTGAAATATCTTGAAAATCAACTCCGAACATTGTTTAAACCAACAAATACAATGGATGGTTCCGTGGTTCCGTGGTATTTCTGAAGACTTCCATGGGTTCCATCTGCCATTCCTATGTTTCGTTCTAGACTACCACAACGGTCACAACGGTTCTGTTTCACAGCAGACGCATTCTATATCCAGTTATGTATACAACTGGATGTTGAAGTGCGTTCTTGCAGGAAGATGTTCGGGTGCCTTATTTTCCCCCTCTACGTTGCCCATCTCCTCAGGGTTCCCAGTACCAACCTGTCCATTTCTCTGGGGAGTCCCTCAGTTGCAATCCACCGACAATAGAAAGTTTAATTGCCCAGATATGGCTCCGTCAAACGCAGCGATTAAAAAGAAAATTAGCAAGTATAGTCTTTGTCAGTGTTCTGTTTTCTTTCAACGACTCCCAAAAACCATCAGGAACGGTGAAAAGGAGCGACTTTGGGTTTAAACGAGTCTAGATCTTCAGGTGCAAGTGCTTCTTCCACCGAACCATTCGAGTGTCTTGGAGGTTCTCTGTCAGTCAGATAGTGTCACTCCGCTGGAAGTTTTCTCCCAGTTTACTTCACAACTGTGAATGAGGAAGATTACCTGAGAAAGCCCAGTACATAGACAGAATGTGTCTGTTTTTCCCTTCAAAACGGGACACCAACCAGTGCAACAAAATTATAGCACAAACTCCCCGTCGATCTCCACGATGATATGTGTTCCCCAACCGATCAGACCAGGTGCGTCCACCGGCGGGATGCGTGCACCAGTGCCGTGGGCGCTCACCTGCGTCCATCCAGCGATCTGTTGCTCCTCACACGAGGTCACAGGTCCATCATGCGGCCGTGGAGAGTTAGTGGAACAGGTGCTTTCTGGAGGTCTGTGTGATGTTGCGTGAGTCTGGTTCAGCTTCAGCTAGATGAAGATAAAGCCATTCAAAAAGGACAAGTTCTGTGCCAGCATGAAGCTGACCAGGCGATTTCTGTGTCTCCGTGATGGAGGAGAAGTTCTCCAAGGTGAGATTATGCTTCTGCAGCTCCGCCAGGATTTGGGAGACTCGCGCACCGGCCTGAACCTCGGAGAACTGCAATTCTGGATCCAGCTGAAGAGGGTCTGAAAAGTGTTCGAAATTCAAAACTCAGCGGCTGAGTAAGCAAGTCAAAATAATGAGCAAAAATGGGATGAGATGGGCATCCCAACATGGTGATGGTGGGGAGCCAGGGGATTCATTCTTCTGTCAATTAGGGGCCCTGTATTCGTAGGAAGATGATGCAAGATGGACCTCTAGGACATTCACAGGTTGAGTGGATCCCTCACGAGGATCTGCCAGAGCGACCCTCCGACAAGGCCCTGAAAGAAGATCGAATGCTTTGGAACAGAAGGGGGTGTGATTGTGGGTTGTAATCATGTGCATAAGTTTGGGGCGAGTGAATGTACTATATATATATATGGTTATATACGATTATATGATTCATATGATCTACTATAGAATTTAGTTGTTTATCTCTGGCCCACCCCACAGGTTCAAGCGAACCAGTGGGCCTAAAACACCTGCATACCAAATATCTACCCAGAAACATGCCAAATGGGCATGACTTTATGCACTTGCCATCTCTTACTTTTAGGGGATCCTCCAGTCCCCTAACTACGATTCAAACCCACACAACTGGAATCGCATTCTACCTCCATGGTGCGGTGATGGTGTTCTTCTCCTTGTCGATCCCTGGACGGACACCGGCAAGCAATACACGTCACGAGCTTGTTCAGAGATGTTGAGAGTAAATGGCATAACTTTGCTGGCTTTTACGATCCCGAAAATGCTCCAACTGGGTGCCAGCATCCGCTCTGGACTTCATGAAATCCTGCCACTTTTTGTTGCTGGTGGTTGTTTTTGAGCCTGCAATGATGATAACCTGATTATCGTAAGTGTCCGGCTCACGTTTGGGCCTGGCCTCGTCTTGGCTTTGTGGGGTGTCCTCGACAGCGAGTAAAGTGTAGGAGGCAAAACCATGCCTGCAGTGTGGATTTCTGTATATTTCTGTTGAAGGGGCTTTCTAGGAAGCCTTGCTCAATCAGACTCCCTCGTTGCCGCGTGTAAGCTCTTTAGATCCCCAATTGCCACGTAACCTCCAACAACTTTTGACACGAACGTAACATCAGCCCGCATGGTGTGGGGCCCCTAATTACACTAGGCAAACCAGACGATCTCGTCACGGAGACGAAGCAAGGTCTAAAAACGAATCACACATGTCTCACAGAATACTACAACATGGCGCTGCTGAAAAGCGGTCAAAGCTGCACCATGGATGCACATGTGAGTCCAAAATGATCCAAAATGGGTGTTTTCGTGCCGATCCCAGCCTTTGATCCCATCCAGCTCTGTCATGGAGAGCATGCCGCCCTCTTGCAGCGCCAAACCGTTGGGCGACAAGTTCATCCCCACTGGCCTCACCTCGTGGCCGCGGCCCGCCACGGCGCTTTGAACAATTTAATTCAGTTTCTTATTTTTTGATGTTCTATCAGGGGATTCGCTTTGGGAGTCTCGCTTCTTGTGGCTTAGGAATTTTGGTACCTCACAATCGCATTCTTCGATCTTGAGAGGCAGTTGGAAGTTGACCTCATCTGGATGATACGGAATGACCATGAATGACCAAGTACCAAGCATGCCAGTGGCACACCAGAAGTTCGGAAGTTCTGGGAATCCTGAAAAAGAGCGAGCTCGATGCCAGATCGCTGCATGTGAGCTAAAAATCAATTGTTTTCATCCATTGTAGTGCGTCATGGGTCCTTACGTGAAAGGTGTCCGTTTGCGCCGACTTTTTCTCAATACCTTTTGTTTGCAGCTCTTTCCTTTTACAAAGCCTTATTCGTCAAGGATGCGTCTAACCACCTCCGGGCCCCGGGCATAGGTTGGCGTATTCATTGGACATACCAGGGCACACCATGCTACCAAGCATAAATCGATGAGCCACTTTTGGTTGGACTTGAGTCGAAGTGTCGCAACGTGTCGCTTCGACCGGCACCGACTGGGCGCCTTCTGCTTCGCTTGAGAGGCCCAGCGAATGAGCCGCTGCAGCTGCTCTTCGTTCTCCGGCTGAAAGAGCCGCCCTGAACGAGACACGTGGGATGGCTGCTCTTCGTTCGCGGTCGAAGAGCCTCATGAGATTGGTTCGTCCGACAAGATAGTCAAATAGGATTCGTTGGGTTTTTGCTGGAGGATTCATCATTCATCCCTACTGCAGCTCCACCAAAGAGTAGTACAAGGTTATTGAGGTGAGGTGGCTTACATAAACTTCTTATTGCTCATACTGGGGACGATCTTTGGACCCATCCGGATCTCATCCTACACTCATACAATCCCATACATACAATCACCTTGCCAACGAGCTCGTGAAGACGTGCTGTGCATACCACCTCCGCCGAAGTCCCTCCGCCCCATTGGCCAAGTGTCGGGTGGTGACGCCTTGCGTGCCGCTCCAATTCACCATCTCTACCGAACGCCTCAAGGCGACTTTGTCGCGCAGATCGACCAAAGCCGGTTGTGGCTTTCTTGATGGGTGGCTTGATGTGTTCTCAAAAAGACTTGTAAACTTGAGGATTGTTGGAGTAAGACAATTGCTGTGTTTGCCGTGTGATCGTGATTACCCTGCCGGCGGCGCATGGAGGCACCCTTGTTTCAGCCACAGACCCAAGTCTTCCTGCGCTAGAGGGTGTTCAGGGAGAAACATGTTTGAAAGGAACATGTCATTACAGGCTGCCAAATAGCCAGGAATTCAAATGGTTCCTTTCTACTATGATCTCTCTTTCTCTCTCACTCACTCACTCACTCATTCCGGAAAGGACATCACCTCAAAACTGATCTAGAGATAACCGTTTGACCCACATGGACGCTGATTTCAGGATCGGTTCTTTAGGATCTGATCTTAGTGAAGTAGTCATCTTGGATTCCAAGTGGTCGAGCCGATCCGGTTTCCACTATAGTAGGCAACTGATGCGTCCGAAAGCAAAAGCTGGAAACCCTGGTTCGACATGCTGGACTGCTGGGCTGATGTCAGGGTGAATCAGATCTATACCTGCGGAACAAGTCGTCTCTACCTGATATGTTAAGCCTGCGCTCCTTTGTTGCTAACTGAAAGGACAGCGCATCTCTATGGCCCCATCTCATGTTGTAGACCCATGGCAAATCTTCCACTAAACAAGCTCATTAGCCATCACAAGCAACTTGTCTATCGCTCGCGCAATCTCTCGTATCAAAGGCCAAAATGTGTATTTCCACACATTCAGTTGCCAGTTGCCATTGTACGAAAGACCAATTCAGCTACAGGCCCCCTTTCTTTTGCCTTCAATACTGCGGATGTCTGCGATCGGAGGAAGTCAACTCCGAGGAGTCCCTCACTGGTCTTACCTCTCCCCAAGGCCATCTTTCGGGTCCCTCAAAACCACACGCTCATCACGCATGTTGCGCTAGAGGTTAGCTCACATAGGTCCCTTATATATACCTTTTCGGGTGGTAGTTGGTTGGAGGCCATCGCTGTTGGAGGCCTATTGGGTTGGAGACTATTGCTATTAGGTTGATTGCTATTGGCTCCGTTCGCGGTTGACGAATGCGGCAGGCTGCTCGATGGTAATATCTGGTGGAGCAGCCTGTCCTGGTGGAGTCACCGACAGAGAGTTGGACCCAGCCTGGATGGTCATACGGCCTTTGCGTAGATTGTGAAATTGGCCAGCCCATATGGGGTAGTGAAAAAGACCGTATCAATTGCTAAATCCCGAAGTCATGTTATCTTTCTTTTACTCTTATCGTTTTCTGGGCCAGTAATGCATTATGGTAGTTTTGAGGTGCAGGCCGAATACTAAACTGCTGAGCGTGGGGTTCTTTCAGCCCATATATGTATTCGTTTTGCAAACAACCAGACTGCAGCAGTCAGTCCCCTACGTTTCAGGTTGCTCATCGCAAGCATACAGGACTCGCCCTCTACTATACAGTTTGCTACATCCGGGGACAAAGCCTTCGCAGCAAAAGCCCGGGCAATCAGTTGAAGAAGTCGCACATCATGACACTGCTCACTATTGTTCAGTTGTGGAGGGGAAAACCCTGGGCCCTAAGTTAGAAAACAAGTGAGAGAGCCGGGCCGCTCATAGTAGGAATTATGTTTGTGTTCAGGATAAAACAAAGAAAGCAGCTGTGGTAAGATGCTGTGATTATGCTGATAGTCTTTGCAAATCCCATTAGGCAAACTGACTCTTGACTTGATTGCCATATAGTCTATAGTTGAAAATCCATATCCTTGTCGCTGGCCTTGCCCTTCCTCCATTGTCCCCATCTGATGTCAGGAGTGAGCACCACCCCGGCCCATTGAGACCAAACCCAAAGCTACTCTCCTGACCATGACACTGTCTGGAAGAAGACCCTCACCACAAAATGTGGTTTTTGAAGCTTCATGTTCCACTGCCAAAGATACCTCTGTTAGAAGCGGCCTTGTGCAAGTGCTGGTTTAGCCGATGGTTGAAACTTG